TGGGGATGTTTCTCGTGCAATACATCACACCGCAGCGAAACGCAACGAATACCGAAGTAACTACCCCACCGCAGCGTTTTCCCATTGAGTTTACAACTAGGCTCTATATTGATTGATTTACAATGTAGTCTAAGCTATATGTGAAATTTCTAGTGCATACAAAAATCATATAAAAAGACTTATTGGTTGCTTATTACATTACATCGTAATTTCGATGAATAAGCAAATCAATCAAATCAACAGAATTTGACAAAAAAACATGATATTTGACAACACATATGAAACTGCACCTGACGGATGTGAAATGATAATTGAACTGCCCACGTAATGAAGTAACGGAAATTGCTATCCTTCAATTGCACTTCATCGCGACGGGGACTTCTTTAACAGCTGTTGGTGCCTATTCTGTGTGTGGATTGGGGAGGGGGGGCAACCTCCTATCAATCAACTAATTAGCTGGCATCAGGAACGTCTGTAGTCCTATGCATATCAAAATATGTTTTTCATAATAAGCTATTGACATTTCTCTAATCAAGTACAACAGATTTAAAGAGACCCGCTGCTAAAGACAGAGTTGAATATATCTTTACATGAAAAAATGCGAAAAATAGGCAAATATATAAAAGACTGCTTTGTCATTAGATTAAAAAACGAAGCTCCACTCGATTAGCCCCACTCGATTGTAACACGGCGTATATCAAAGTCAGACTTGTGCTAGCTCTTGTTGTTTGAGTAATAAAGATTTATTTGGTTTTATTCTATATTATTTTGGACTTTGTTCAAAAGTTGTTGCGGTCGTACATTATACCATGTGCAATTGCCGTGCAATAAAGTGTTCTTCTTCTTATCATGAAATCAAATATAACTACTACGAGTGCATGCTGGACTTACTTAGAAACGACACATCAAACTACTGTATAATACTCCACATAATATCATTTTGGTCTTGAGCAGAAATTTTGTAAACCTGACAGTAATGATATTAGATTAAAGAGATGCGGAAACCCTACCATTTGTTACACAAGCTCTCTCTCTCTCTCACCCCATGCAGTCTTAGGGCGGCGGCCAGGAGCGCGATTTAATCAGGCTACGGAAACCAATGGGAAATCCTTTAGGACTCCCTTTGCCCAGTTGCCTCCTACAAATTTATTTCTAGTTGAAGTACAAAGTGATCCCTTATCATTTAATATCAAAACATCTTTGAAGACATTATCCCATAAGAAGCATGCTAAAATGGGTCACACAGCTTTGATTTTGGTTTTATCTTCTTTTTTTATGTTATTTCGTTATCTACCTAGTGGTTTTTACATGTCATTCATCTATAGATAAAATAACTAGAACAGTCGGATCGTGAAAGGTTACCTTTAATCATTAATGTTCTTTTATCTCAACTTGCCTGGTGACAAAACTGCGAACCGGCTAAGTTGTGTCTTACCGGTCTTACTAAGGCCTTGTTCACATGAGACCGCCTGAACCACAATTCGGGTAAATCGCATTCTACACTTCTGGTTAGTCGGTTATTACTGCTCTTTAAGTTGCTTCCACGTAAATGTTGGTATTGCATGTAAATAAAGAAATATCACCCCGTAATCCATGACTGGGTCAATATGTAAAGTAAACCGGTGAAGTCACATTGGAATCACATTTCTGGTGAAGTCACATTGGAATCACATTTCTGGTGAAGTCACATTGGAATCACACACAAGGTGAAACCGGTTCGAAACTACCCCACGAGGTGGTATATAAGGGATCGAGGCGCTTTGGAGCGTTCAGATGGGGCCACTTGAATCCGGCCTTGCTGGAAACAGGATCGAAAGCGCTTACAGTGTATTCGCGTGAACGGCTCTAAAGTACAGGCCTTGCTTGGGCATCCAATCATCGGGGACAATTCGTGTGAGCCATGGGAGATAGTTACCTGATCCACAGGTGTTCTAGTTCTTACGCACGTGCTTAGCGGGAGGGAAACATAAATAACTACATTTTGATTCATATGAAGATTCGAATCACAAAAGAACTCTTCCAAAATGAATAGGAGATGGTCTCTAAAGAAACTTATTTAATTAAATCACCATATCAATCGAAAAATTGTCTTGAATATGATAAAAGAAAGTTATTTCGTAAGGTTGAGTATATATAGGCCATTGAATTATTCATCAGGTCATCAAAATGCAACGCTATGATTTTTACCCGTGCCAATTTTCGTTGTAGGTGGTTTAAGATTGCAACAATACTTTTTCTTTGCAACTATTCTTTTTATCCCTTAATTGAACTACTAAGTATCAATGTTATTTTAGTTATGTAGCTGCCACCTGCAACATACATTTTAAGATTAAGAAAAGACATGTAGCACATTCATATTGAATCTCCGGGACACTCTGTATCTTTAAAATGGGTCAAAATCCTCGATTCTGAACTAGACTTCTTTGCAAGAGTGGTAAAGGAGGCGGTCTACATTAGAGCTCACAGACCTAACCTGAACAGAGACGGGGGGTGAAACAAGTTATCTGGCATGTATGAACCGCTACTACGGTCACGTGTCTCTGTCGTCACATTTCAAAAGTAGACGTGTCCATTCCGTGAACAAGGTTGAAGGAGTCAGCCGAAAGTTTTAGGTAACTCTCAATTCATTCCAGTGTTGGAAGGAAACTTATTAAAAGTGTTTATTTCATAAAAGGCATGGGTTGTCACTTTTGTTATTAAAGCTGCGTGTTGTGAAACTCTGTTGATCCAGAACAGGCCTGAAGGGCACAGAGAAATAATGTGTTGGCGCCAGAACGACAGTTCATCACACATTAAAGGGTTTAATCATGCCTCTGGATTGATGTTTGACAACTGTGACCTCACCTTCACCGTGCGTATCCTCAAATGGTACACAAGTCAAGCGAACACATTTAACTAGGCAATACAAATATCCATGCAGGTGTTGGGAGGCAAAATCATTAACATTGAAGAGTTATGCCTCTGGATTGACTTTTGACAGCCGTGACCTCACCTGCACCGTGTGTGTCCTCAAATGGTACATTCAAAGTACAGCGAACACATTTTATCTCTATGGTATAGATAACTTTGAAATTCGTAAAGCAATAACCCAATTAAAAATCAGCAGTCATAAGGTCAATATAGAAACTGATAGATAGTGTAGGCCCTGACCAAAGGTTTTGTCCATTTTGTCCAAAGTAAATTGAAGATGAATTTTACTTTGTTATGAAATGCACTAACTATGATGTTTTAAGTATTAAGCTCTTTACATTTCTTGACTCAAGTACAACAGATTTCAAGAGACTCGGTACTAGAGGCAGATTTAGATATATCTTTACATGCTCCCACATTAGGATTTATATATATATTAGATTTTATTCTATATTAGGTCTTACTCTATATTTTTTAGGACTTGTCCAATAGTTGTTGCCATACACTGTACCATGTGCAATTGTCTTGCTATACAGTTATCCCATGACATATTTTACAAATATCCATAAGCATGCAGGTGTTGGGCATGGGAAGCAAAATCGTTACGGCTGCCAGCCTCTATTACAAATTGTCTCCCGGTGATCCCTAGAGCAGCTAGGAAAGATATTGTGGTAACGATTTTGCTTGCTAATATCTGAACGGAGATCACCGAAATATATCATCTGACTAGTGGCGAAATAGTGGGAGTTTTATCGCACCCACAACTAGTGCTGTGTACCGGTACGCTGGACTGGTTCTATGGGGGCTGGTTCTATACTTGTAAAGTGTTAAGGTCCAAGTAAAAAACAACCTAAAAGTCAAGAACCGATACCGGACTCATCAAAAATACATATCACATACCCCTTTTCTTTCTAAACCAACTAAAACCCTTCTATAGACTGCAAAATCTGTGCTCCGAAATGAAGAAAACATTGCCATCGGGCATCATCAAGTGCCGGCCTCGATGTTATATGTGTCCACATCTTTGCCCATATAACAATGCAATTTTATACAGCCATGACTTACGACTCCGGACCTGAACGTAAATGTGGGTTCAGGTGCACAGCACTACCCACGACCAGATGTCGTATAGCTTAGAGCAAAGCACTAACTTACAAATATACCATCGTGACATATTCAAAGTATGTAGGGTGAGGAAATCCTGGATTATTTTCCCCTGGCAGATTTCTACTTGAACAGCTGTGCAAAGTGCACGTTGTAACGCTAGAGGCGGAGGGTTCTTTGGACGTTTTATACCTCAGAAAAAAAGAGTATTGAAGTGCCTTACTTGTGATTTGCGTTTTACGTTGTGATGGAAATGGCATTCTTCTTCAATTCTGATTCTCTTCTATCTATAGCACCCTGGTTATATGAGGCTTATTGGGTATTTGAAGTATTGTTCGCCATATAGTACACTGATTTGTTCTTTTTGTTGTAAATATGTCGTCTTATTCGGTCTAACGCTACAGACGAAACCTCTAGCGCAAGCAATAAGGGCTTTGTGGGGTCGTGTCGCGTAGCGGTAGGGCGTTCGGCTCAAGACCATTTTATTCTAATGTTAAGCAATTGGCGTAATTGTAATAAAAAGTAATTCCACAGGTATGTATATATGAAAAAGTATTGGGATGGCCTCAATCCTCCTGTCTTACATAATGTTGTTCATGAAGCTTCTAAGCGCTTGGCTGGTATGGCAGAAGAGATGCTAGAAGCGTGGGCCTAACCATTGGGAGAGCTGCTAGAAGTAGGGTTTAGTAGGAGCCTAACTACTGTGTGGGCCGCCAGAAGTGGGGTTTAGTTCGGCTAGCAAGAGCTGGCTGACAGATAAACTTTCGATTTGTCATGAGCTAGATACTCGGGGGAATACCATGCAATAACTTTGTCCAATCACATTTGAAGCCTCTTACTACGAAAGAGGATTAGATTACAAGCCATCTCTAACTGCATTATAAACAATAATCAATAGATTGGACCGGAAAAACTAACGTAATAGGAATCAATCTATTCGAAACTTCTCGTGTGAAATTTGCAGCAAATGTTGTGAATATTATTAGGCCACAGCAAGTAAATTTTATGGGTGATATGCTCCCGCAGACTCCAAATCTAATGCAATAGGGAGAAAAAAAACAAGGTGGGCCAAAAAAAAAACAAGGAGCGCCAGAAAAACAAGATTTCTATATATTCAAATGTTGAAATCATAAAGATTTTTTTGATTCAGCGGCAGCATCACATATAAAGGAATGAAATAGAACACTACAACAAAGTAAAAGACAAAACATTAAATCGGAGCCTTTTATTCAAAATCAGGCAGATATCAATGTTCGCGGCGAAGTCATCCATAAAAATGACTTGCTGTGGCCTTATGCATACTAATTTTTTTATAATATACTTTTCGGGATTTTGAAATTTCAGATTTCTTCTTGTTATATTCAACTGTGTCAGTAATTTGATAGAATTCGGACTATTTATTACCAGATAACATCACATTATTTTTTTTGGTTAACTGTGTATTTGTAGACCATGCAATGTAACAAAAATATCTTTGGATAAGAAGGCAGCAAGTATTTAAAAATCTATATTGGTTTATATATAACACAGGAATTTCAAAAACAAGTGAATACTCTTATGATCCTTGTACTTATAAACAAAGATGTCTTTTTCACTTCAGGCGAGGGAATCAGATGAATTTCTCGGACCATTCTGTTCATGAATGCCCTATAATGGAGTCTATGGGCTTTGAAGATTACTTCCCCGACACCAGGAATGAAAGCGGCTCAAATGACTCTTCGATTTACAACCTGCCGAAGTACAAACAGCCAATGTACATCATCGCCATCTTTGTTGTTCTCTATGTCATTGTGTTCGTGTTGTGCATTGTGGGTAATCTCGTGGTGTGCTATATCATCGCGAGAACTCCGTCACTGCGAGATGTCACCCACTCCTTCATCTTGAATCTCTCCGTGAGTGACCTCCTAGTGGGGGTCTTCTGCATCCCGTTCACCTTGGTGAACCACATTTTCCATGGTGAGTATCAAAGTAACATATTTGAGGTTAAGCCACAGCAAGTAATTCTATGGATGACATTATTACTCCGTGAAGGAGGTCAGGACCTCCGGACGGAGTGTTGTAATCGGCTGATTTTTCATGTTCGCAGTCAAAACACTGGGTTCTCTTTGTGTACTCGGCACGCAATTTTATACGCCGTCTGCGGGCATGCCCGTGTTGATGCACGAATGTGTATTTTTGCCGTTGCTGCTTTCGCGGTCAATGTAATATCGCAGACGCACCCCTACAATTACGAGGCGAATTGGAATGGTCCAGAAAAACGCGTTGTTTGGAATAGCAGTGGGGTTCAAAAAAGTTCATGCAGATACGGGGTGGTTTTTATAAGTGGTTCCAGATGTTTTTGCCCATGGTTAAGAGATGCCAAGTTTTTTGGAAGATGTTCGCAGCCAAAACGCATTCTTCCGTACGTCGCATTTCTGTGTAATTTCGCATGTGGTGTTGCATTATGTCCGGGATGATGCACGTCTTTTTATTTTTACCGTAGCTGTTTTGATATTGGAGTAAATGCTTATTTTCGAAACATCCCCATTTCTTTGAAATGGTTTCGTCCGTTTATGCAACTGTTACTGCGCTAATGACGACCAGTCGCGCTGTCCTGATACACCGCGAATGTGCGAGTGTTCCCTGTAGACAGTCCCGGGAGTCATTTTTTTCGCACATTCCAGGAGCCAAACCAAAATACGTTCATGAACCGAGTCCAAAAAACCGAAACGTGAAAATCGGATGATCGGACCTGATGTACATTTCTCTTTCTATAGATTGTACACACAATACACACATCTTTAGATAATCTGGCCATGGCAGGTTAAAAAAAAAGTAACCCTGAATCATACTAGATTAGCGTAAATGCATGTTAATGCGTTCAAAACAAGAAAAAAATTGTTTCCGGGTATTAATCTCTTGAATCACGGCGCTGAATATTGACGCAAAATATTTCGGGCATCGCGCGCCCTTCCCGCGTCACGTGTAGGCATCTCGCATCTCTGATTGGTTGTTGCGTCTTAAGATGACTGAGCCGACGCGCGTTTAAACAATTTTTCTTTGTTCGATTTATCACACTTCACAGAGAATTGTCGCCAATGGCTACTTCTTTTTGTTGCAATATATAATACTTCACGGAGAATTGTCGCCTATGGCTTCTTGTTATTTTTTTGCCTCTGATTGAAACCTTTTACTTTTAAGTTGTTTCAGTAACAAATGGATGTTGTAATTGTTGACAGTGAACACAACATAGGCATTATGTCTTGTTTAACAAGGTTTATGATGTCGAAATTTGAAAAAGTAGGATTCTTGTTTTTGGGGCCGACTTGTTTGTTCGCCCTATTGCATCAGATTTTGAGTCTGCAGAGAATGCCATCCATAAAATTTACTTGCTGTGGCCTCAACCATAAACCAACGCATACGCATGGCAAACATTACAGATGGTCACAGGTTCACAGTTTGGGTTTCCATAATGTCATTGTTGGGTGGAACTATTCTCAATAGACAATAATTCTGGTTGTGTTCTATAATTTCACATCTAGCCCTTTAGGGAAAAAGAGTGCATTTGAGGATAGCTACGTGAAACCGGTTCTTTCTAGTTGGATACTTGACATCCACTTCAAGACACAAGGCTGATGTCTTAAGCCTCTCAAGCTCAAGAACAAATTTGCACTGGAGCAACTAAGCATTCTTCTCATTCCACGAGGCTTAGATAGTGCAGCCAAATAATTTCAAATTTTAGTACTATCCAGTATTGCACGTCTTTTCCATAACAAAAATATGATCGCATCAAGCATTCCTCATTTGCAAAACTACTTATTGGCAAATTACATTTAGTAACAGATATTGCATTTTGGTGGTATTTCACATAGCCAAAATAGATCTCCCAAGCCATCATGCAAACTGCGAATTATATTTACTTTGTTATTAATCAAACTGCTACAAGACTTTCACATAACGAAAGATATTATTGCAAAGTATCCTCCGTTACGCAAAATTACTTACTACTATAGGTTATCATCGAGTTTGATTTTTAATATTGCGGGTTTTCATTATCCCAGTCCCCTACTGCAGCCATTTTGCTTGAGTATTACATATAAAAATAGTACATTTACTCAAGGACATCCTGCAAGTGAAAGAACGTCCTTGGTTTACTTGGCTACATTTCCAAAAAAGGAGAGGCACGCGCTGATAATACCAAATGTGACTTTGCGAAACCTTCACCTCAAGAACAGGCTTGCCCAACCAGCCAAGATTGCCACTCTTAAAAGGTGAACAGAAAATACTCGACATCCCTTAATATCGCCTTTGGCTACGCTCACATGATAAAAGAACGAATGAAGTGATTAATCTTAAGCTAGCAAGGGAATCAGTTTTAACCATACCTTAGGGGAACTATTCCAGACGTCTTAACTGAAACCAGCTGTGCTCCAGACGACGATTAGATTTTTTATGTTCTTTAAGAGAGCCTTAAGGAAAATGGCTAAAATGCCAAAGCTGATAGATATAGGGCTTTGACACGTTTAAGACTTACTTTTTTTCTTCCAGCCACACTTTATTCCTTTTTCCTGGAATAGGTTAAGAATACCACAAAGACGGTTTTAACGACAATATGTTTCGTCGGTGAAGGCTAGACATCCAGCTTACAAGATACGCCAAAAATAGTTACTCAAGCAGCAGGATATGGTTTTGGAAACGGTTAGACGTTTCAGGTAGCGTTCACTACCTTTCGGCAGTAACACAAGACACTGGCAGGAGAAAGGCGGGTTTGTAAGCCCGAAGAATTGATTGCTATGAAAATAAGTGAAGACAAATGGAAACAAAATATAGAGAAGTCAAGACATGGATGATGCAAATTAGTCAAGTAGCTCCTGTTGCTTCAGAACATATTATTCGGGTTTATAAACCTGCCTTTCTGACAAGTCTCCTGTGTCACTGACGAAAGGTAGTGGATACTACCTGAAACGTCTGACCGTTTTCAAAATCATATCCAGCTGCTTGTCGATGAGTAAATTTTTTGGCGTGTTTGTTTCGGAGTTCCTAACCATACCAGTAATGTTTTATCTGCCAATTGTAAAAATTAATAACACAACAGCTACATAAATTTTGTATAAGAAGCAAAGAACTACCAATCTAAAAATATATCAAAGTCAGATGTTTATTTCTTTCTCAGAGAACTATCTTGGTGACGTCATGTGCAAAGTCAGCCCTATGCTGAAAGGCATGTCGGTAGCCGCGTCGGTGTTCACCCTGACTGCAATCGCATTTGACAGGTATAATTTTCCAAAGTGACATTATAATATATCATACCTGCACCTTACATGACAGGTACATTATTAACAGCCTCCAGTTTAATTCCGGACTTCCAGCTAACTAAATTCCGGACTAATTCCGTATCTCGGCAACCTTATTGGTGATGGGATAGTTTTGTAAACAAAAATGTAAGAAATATGTAGACGTAGCAGCCATCGAGGACCCCTTGGAGATTAACCCAATTCTGTGCGGAATTCTGAAGAATTCTGGCTCCATTTCCCAGAATTCTGACAGCAGTTTCAGAATTCTGGAGATTTCTGCAAGGGGTCCTCGATGGCTGCTACATATTTCTTACATCATTTTTACCTTTAGTTTACGATATTAGCCCATCTAAATGTATATGGTTGCTGATATATGGGAATTAGTTTTAGTATACTTTAAACGATTAATTTTATGAACTGATGCTGTAAGAACAACTCAATTCAGATTCTCGTCTGCTAGTTGTTTGAATAAAGATTGATTGATTGATTGATTGATTGATTGATTGATGACTCTTTAAATAGCAAGATGTTGATAATGTAAAATGATGATGTTGAAGATGTTTCCCAATGATTGTTTGTGTGACATGTAGATACTGTGTGATTGTCCATCCGACCCGAGACCGCCTCACCGTCCGCCAGGCTGTGTATCTCATCATCGCCATCTGGGTCGTCGCCGCCATCATCATGTCACCAACGGTAAAGGATAATCATACAATACAGGATACAAGATACAAGTTGACTTTATTCGTTTTTGGAGTGTGTATAACACTTAATCAAAATCGAATTTACATGTATAAATAATCTCATTTAGATAAAAACAGTTGCAATAAGTAAATTATTGTCGTTGTAAAAATGAACGCAGTTGTAATATATAGTTGGCTATAGACATACACAAACAAGTTAAAATTCCATGTCCGACAAAGTTAAAAAAGACAGATTGCCACATTGGTACAATATATTTACAGTGCTGATTTCATGCCAGGTCCATGCTGGTTGAGCAACTTGATCATATACTAGAGTCGGGCAATCGCACTTATTTTCAAACTTATACTCAAATAGCGTTCAAAGATAGTACCAAAATATAACCTGACCTTTTTATCATTAAAGTCCAACCGTTTCCACTTCAACTGCTAGAAAATCTACTATATAGTCAAAAAGAGGCGCAAACCAACGCTGTAAACTTATTTCATTAAGACCACAATATGACACCTCCTTGATGCAAATGCAACATAGAAAAGAACCTCATTGTAACATGTTCTTGTGTCTTCTTTAATAGTCTATCGTTCGCCGCGACGCGCCCTTCCAGTTCGGCCAGCAGACCCTGTCTGTGTGCGGGGCGTTCTGGCCATCTGCGCTGCTGCGTAAGGCCTACAGCGCCTTCCTCTTCGTCATCTGCTACGCAGCGCCTGTCCTCATCAACACCTTCCTGTACGGCAGAACGGGCATCAAGCTGTGGATGACCAAGTATGTATTGCTAGACAATTCTTATTTATAAGTTAACCGGAAGGAAACCATATTGTTTTTGCTTTGTTTCCTCTTCTTCTTCTTCTCCAATCATATAAGGTCAATGACCTGAACCAGACGTCTGTCACCATGGTAACTAGTGTTGAGTTACATTATGTTGCAATTCTATAGAAGGGGGGATTTAGACTCCTGTCTGACCATAAGTACGATTTAACACAGCAAACCATATGTGAAGGTAAGCATTATGCATTAGCTTTGCAAATGTTACCTTTCTAGTTTCAATTTAAAACATCCTCTTTGTTAGTACTTCATAGAACTTCAGCAGAATCTATGCAAAAGGTAGTTTTAGTTTCCCTAAAATGGATTTCCAAATGTCTGAAAAAAGGTTTAATATGTTAAAGATTATGCTGATTGTAAAATTTTCGCTTGTAATTGTAATTTTAGCTTGTATATAAAATGTTTTGTTAATGTTGGCAGTCAATTTCTGTAATATCGCTTCATTAGCCTTCGGGCTGTTGTGATATAGCTGATGTCATTATAAGCAACTCTACATCACTATGTTCTCTTGCAGGTCGGCTGCTGCACCTAAAGCCTGCAGTAACCAGACTGAGCAGCGAAGCCGCATCATCAAGATGATGGTCATCATCGTCGCCGTGTTCGCCATCACCTGGATGCCGCTCTACAGCTGCTGGCTATTGGAGGACTTCGGTCACCTGACCGAAAGCCAATCACAGATCCTTCACGACTACATCTACCCGATAGCTCACGTGATGGCGTTTGCCAACAGCGCCGTGGATCCGTTCATCTACGGCTTGTACAGCAGCAACCTCCGCAGCCGCGTCACAGACATCTGCCGCCCACAGAAGACCAGGGGGAACGTTGAAGCTCGTAACAACAACAATCCTGAAAAGCCACTGGCCATTGGCCACAAGCCACAATCGTTCCAAGTGAACCTACCAACGGTAGACAACAGAAACATGCCCGGCGTATCCAACGAATAAAGATAATGCCAATCTATGAAACAAGAAAAGGATAAAAATTGTTATCTTGACCTCATTCAGCCAATATTGACCATGGTGAAATCTTTGATATCAGCCCTACAGCTTTGGCTATGGCTGAACAGAAATATACGAGAATGTCATTCTCATTCACACTAGGATCTGTAAGCTGACTCAGGTCTGTTGGAAAGTGCTAGTACTATAAAATGTATTTTCAATACAAAGGACATATTTTGTGAAGAAAAGTGTATTACTAATGTGCAGAAATAGGATCTGTACATACATAAACATTATAACAAGACTTTGTATCTGAATTCTAGGAATGCCCCATCAATGAAAAAATGAAAACTTTAGAAAAATATATAAAAAAAAGAAACTATGATATTACTTATTTATGTGTCATTTTAACATTGGGTTTCTCAGTTAAGTGCTGCGTTATTTGGGGCCCTGCGTCAGTAATACCGTATACACTTTTGAATATGAAATGATTAAGTGTATGCTTAAAAATCAATTTCAACCATCACGTCAAAATAAAAAAGTCTTTATGCTTACAATTATGCATGGGCATTTGGAAATAGTTGTAAATAGATGGAAATAAAGTATAAAATGTGTACATTAACTGTATAACCGTACTATAGTAAATGTATACAGTTCAGCCCAGCTACCGGACGGGTTTACCGTGGTTCACGCTTTTCAAATGCCATCGGCAGTAAAAGAGGTTATTTCCGTATGCCGAATTCCGGGTACTCTCAGAGAGCCATTTCCTGAGGAAACACTTATGCCTCCGGTCTCAGTGATCTCTGTATCAATAAGCATTACCAGATAGACCAAACATTACTCTGTGATATCAATATGCTAGGCACGTTTAACACAAGGACAGGAAGAAACAAAGGTACGATTTACCACTGGGTGACAAAGTTGGTCTAGCTGGACATTGGCAGGAAGATTTGGTCCTGTCTTTGATTTACTGCTAATTGTCTGTTGCATATTTTTAATGTTTACCGAAGGGAAACATATTATTTTTGCTCATTTTCTTCCTCTTCTTCTTCTTCTTCAAATGGTGACCTCAATGACCTGAACCAATGTTGTGTCTGTTACCATGGTAACTAGTTTCTCTTTCTAGTTAAAAATTTATAGCTTCAGGCTCTGGAGCTCCAGCTCTTTCTCTCTTATCGCTGCCTCCCTCTCTCATCTGTGACAGTCGTTAATTTCAAATTATTCAAAGAGTCAAAACAGAAATCAGAATAGTTTTCAGCATTTCTTTTTCATGGATGTTGTTTTTTTTGTAGTTTTGTGTATTTGGCAAATTTTGACTTTTCCTTGTCGTTTTCATGATTACGTGTGGTGAACTCGACAGTATATTTAATATTTTGTGTCGTAGATTCTTCTGATTCTGGATTTAATCTGAATATGAAAATATTAAGTGATGCCACGCTTAAAGCCAGACAATAGGCTGACATTTTGCATACTGATCACATAATCCTCTGTGGTGGTCCACACGGTGTCCTTGTATAAGAACCTACAAAGACAAAGTGCCTCCAGCAAACGGATAAACTTAGCAAAAGAAAATCCACGAAATTTCGCAGTTTCTTAAGCCATGTTATCTTAGATGGGATTATATAGCTTTTAGCAGCACCTTTGTATGATTATATAAGAAATTAACGGGATAAACTAGTACGTGATAGGGTTTTGAACATGCACTTTGGGGTTTTGGATTGTTCTTACCCATAAATACATAATTCTGATTTTTATTCTTTGAAATGCTGTTCCAAAATGTAAATCCACAGCCTAGAGCAGCATTTATTCACTTCAGGTAAGGGAATTTAAAGCACTGATCGGCTTATATAAGAGGCAATTACCCTTTAGCAATTAATAGACTGTATTTATGTGCGTCTGTACATAGTCTAAGCGATTGTAGAAAGAATGATTTCAAACGTTATGGATTATTTTAGTGGTTTTGTTTGACCTTCGACTGACCTTTGCTTCTCAATGTTATATATAGAGACAAGTTTTATGGTGATTCAGTGATATTTACAGTATCTGTATCGTTCTGCTGTGATACAGAGACAATGAGTCAACGAGGTTACGGAATATGATTGTATTTGAATCTTCATGTATTACATTCAATGTTTACTGTTATTATCAATTCGGGAATGAAAGTATTGTTTTGGGTGGCGGAACTGTTGATGTGTGTTTCTGTCCGGACAGAGTAGGTTGACAGCATAGATCGAAAGACAGAAGGCAGGAGGTTAAATGTCAAGGCACACAAATGATGTGAACTTCCTTGGAGGTCTTGAAAAACCTTGAATACTTCAACAAGACAAAATTATATTTGTTTACTGCAGTACTTTGGAAATAGATGTATGATACAATTTTCATGTTTTCATGAGCTATGTATAGTAACGTGTAGTCAACAGTATTGATCAATTAGTTGAATGTGTAAATGTGTGAAATGTAATGTTGCAAATACATTTACGCAAGTGTTGCCACGTTAGTTAAATAGTGAAAATGTGAAATTAGTTTTACTGACAATGCCCATGTGCATTACACCAATGTTAAAGGACAGCTTGAAGGTTGTGTGTGAAGGATGATTTTGTTGAATCCTCCATGTACTTAAGAAGACGTTGAACATATTTATGCCGTACACGGTTTGTAAACATTCAGTGTTCTTGATATTGTTGTAACAGACATATGATTGGAACTCAGTTACTATAAGGAATAAAAGTGATGTTGCAAAATCTACAATTTTCAGATGAATCGTTCTTGAATATTTGCCTGACTCTTGATTGTGCCACACGGCATATAAGTCGTAGTAATACAAAAAAAGCTTACTAAAAAGGGGTATTTTAGTCTTTGTCAACGCATTCCATTTGTTATTTTGAATCCGTACTGCTTGATCAAGTTCTTGGTCTACCTTACCCACGTAAAATTGTCTACTAATAAAATAAGAATCTCATACACTATTGCCACGTTGACATACGTCGTGCAATAGGATTTATATACTGAAAAAAACAACGATATGTTTGTGACAGCCTTAGATCGGCCGTGCATGCTAATTCTCTACCCAAGACTCTCTATAGACTATTGCCACGTTGACATTCGTCGTACAAAAGGATTTGCATACTGAAAAGTACCGGCGTGTTTGTGACAGCCTTAGATGGGTCGTGAATACTAATCAGGCTGTCTTTTGACAGAAACTGAGTTTGTGGTAAATACTTGCCGGGAATCCTTTCCGTCACAAGGTAGCTATTATGATAAAGGTTTTTATTGTCCAAACAGTACCCGTGCAGTCGCAGCCTTTGACGGCTGAATTGATGCAGGGCATCACATAATAATCCATACAAATCACAACCAACAAGTAATACACATGATAACACATATATTTTCTCCACAATTTTTGTGGAACTGTCGTAAGGGTCTGTGCGGCTGCCATTCGGCGCCACAAGGTGACCTCAATACGGCTTTCCCCAACCGAAGTTAGGTACCCATTCACACCTGGGTGGAGTGAGGAAAGTCGTGTAAAGTGCCTTTCCCAAGGGCACAACGTCGGGGCGCATGTTCAGACATGTCCCGGGTATGACTCGGGTTCGAACCCGGGTCTCCCGGTTCACAGTCGAATGATCTACGCCACTACGCCACCCGACGCCACTATTATGTGGGTATTGCCGCACGTATAGTAAGTCAGTTCAGTAAGCTCAGTTTTTCCGTTTTCTGGAAGCACCTTGTCCTTCTGGCCTCCGTAGCAGGCTTATAGAACTGGGGGTTTGGTGGTCTTCGGTTGTTTTCAGATTAGCCCAGTTCTAGACTCCCAACCCCCCCCCCCAGTTTTTGGCAGGCTATGGAGGTCCTTGAAGGTTCTTATACAAAGACACCGTGCAGACCACCACGAAAGATTATGTATAGATAATCTACGCACGTATAGTAAGTCAGTTCAGTAAGCTCAGTTTTTCCGTTTTCTGGAAGCACCTTGTCCTTCTGGCCTCCGTAGCAGGCTTATAGAACTGGGGGGTTTGGTGGTCTTCGGTTGTTTTCAGATTAGCCCAGTTCTAGACTCCCAACCCCCCCCCCCCAGTTTTTGGCAGGCTATGGAGGTCCTTGAAGGTTCTTATACAAAGACACCGTGCAGACCACCACGAAAGATTATGTATAGATACGTAAGAAGAAATTGGCCAGCAGACCGATTTTTTAAATATTTTATGACTATTCATTTTTAAAAAAGGCTCTAAAAAATAAATAAAAAAATATCTAGAAACGTCGATCTGGGGTAAAAAATTGTGATGTGATTAAGCCATACCGGAACATTTGGATCAGACATGACCACGTTTCCCATGCCAACTTGCACCAAGCTGATTCTCGGAGGCAAGGCCAGGCTTATGACCGCCTGTAACCGGATAGCCTCCGTTTGTCCCATATAATCTTCTTCGAGACTACCAATTAGGATACCTCTGAAAAACAGGAAATGCTACAATGAAGCTTACTTACTCCACTGGTAATGTGTGGCGTTGAAAGCCCAAGCTACGGTTGCGCTATCTAGATATTTTCCTTTTACAGACATTCACTGCCGTGAGTTCTATTATATTTCCATTCTTCGTAATTATGGTCCACGATACATAACACCATACATATTAAAATGAAGAATTACAGACCTCCGGTAGTGGGGCACACTGCAGATTGAAAGACAAGTCAGAATCTTATAATAACTATATTTGACTGAAAGGATTGTCAGTCATTATCATGCAAGGAAACCGTCATTATCATTCCATGCATAGAATCATGTCTTGAAAAACAAGTTGAAACTGTAACTTCATTGTCCCTGGATGCATCAGACCCCAGGTGCAGGTGCACATCGTGGGATAGGGTAATTACATCGACCTTTTAATGGTGTTTCAAAACACACGACCAAATAGAGTTATTTTGAAGCCATATGGTGTACGGATACATCCTTGTATAAAACACCGTATATGACGTCTCTCCGGTCGGCCTCCGGCAAGATTTGACTTCAAAAATATTTGCTTCTGAAAGGTTCAATAAGTAGTGGGCAGATGTTGGTGTCTTGTTCCGCAGTCTTGCCGCAAGACAAGCTGGAAACTACTCAGGAAATCCATATTCTTCTGAAAGGTTACACTGCGCTGGAGTCAGATGTTGACTCCGCTGCGATGTCGTGTGAGCGGCTGTAGAAGTAAAAACAAGGCTGCTTCTGAAAGGTTACAAAACGATGTTGGCAGATGTTGACTCTGGTTAATGTAAAACATCTCCAATATGTGAGCACGTAAAGGCTGTTGATATAAAAACAAGACTTTTGTTCTAAAAGGTTAAAAATATGTAGGTAGATCTTGACTCCAATTGAATGTGATGCCCTTAACCGCTTTCTTTTGTGGCCACAGGAAAATTGATAAATAACATATTGTGCTTAACGTTTGAATGGCATAACATGACGTGTTTAGACGTGAACATGTGCTTCTAAAGGTTAACAAGCTGTCGTGATACACACAGAGTATGAGTCCCTAACTAAGGTGGCACCAGAATACCTACAAATAGCCTTGCACTTAAATTTAAAGTTCACAAAACAAAAACAAAAGCTTGACGGCCAGATGGCGATTTCCATCCCCAAATACCGCGTACCGCTAACACTCTTATCCCCCTCAGGCTGTATAAAAAGAAAACAGCATCCGATTAATAACGCCATTTGTAGTCCATATAATATCCGCACGGTGGCGCTACTTAGTAGAACTCTACCACGTTCAATGTAGAACTTTTACCACGTTCTACTCAATGTACTAACATTACTAGAAGAACTATTCTTACTGAATCTTAGTTAAATGCCAGTCACACTACACCAGCTAAGAACGTTCACACGGCAGTTACAGCTAGCAATCAGTTGAACAGGCAAAGCAACATAAAACTTGTCCTAAAGTCTGAAACAACAACTCCCATAGCCCAGTCATACAACTTACAAGCAGAGGTTTGGGTTTTGGCTTATTTTTGGTTTGTTAGGCTTTTTATCGGGTTTTCTTTTTTACACTGTTTTTCTTTTTTTTTTTTTTTTTTTTTTGTACACGTTGGGTTGGCGAAAAAAAAACAGTGCAAAAAAAGGGCCGATAAAAAATAAGGCAAAACCCAAACGTCTGTTTCGACAGTAGTTACAAACCGTATTTCCTCGTAGTTGAGACCAATTTGGTTGAGATGCTCTATATATGTAGATCTATTTCACATTGCCAACGCACAATATATCTTGAAAGTTTATCTATGTTGGGTAGAATTAATTAGGAAGCACGGCCCAAACCGCGCCCTCCCAAACAGAATCAGCGTGTGCAAATAAACTACTACATGTCTTATAAATATGTTACACGTGTCTTACCAGTCTTACTCCTATTAAATGATTTGGACGGTTACAATGTTTAATTTTATTTTAATTTCTATTTCACACCGTTCCGTAGCTTTGGGCTTTCGATACCTCTCAAAACCGCCTCACATTGATGGTACAAGTCACATACGAATGCTAGTACACGAATGATGCACTATTTACCGTTCAAGAAACCTGTTCCAGCGATTTTCTACTTTCGATAAAACGTCTGAAAGAGGAAGGCAAGTTGTGTGTTTCCCACTATTTCCATTCTTTCATGAATTTCACTAAGGAAACAGATTAGTACATGATGTTCCTTAGCTATAGGAATAAGGAACAGATGAAGAAATCGGCATGTTAATCTGATGTAGTGGGAGGGGGCGTGGAGAAAATGCGACTACTATACTACTAGAGAGACACGTTTGTGCCCAAGAACCACGTGCACAATTACATGTAAATAGCAAAACAATAATGTTATATAGAACATGTTAACGTTAGATAAATTTGCTTTAGTCTGAAGATGTAATGATAAGAAACTCCTTTTTCCCGAGCCAATTTTATCACTCCACTTGCTGTGTGCAGAAAATTCGAAATTATACTCGTCATCGAAAAAATGTACCTTTGATTCATGTTTCAAAAATTTCTGACGTGGCACATTGTAATATCAACACGCACACCTGTACACTATATAGTGGTCAGTTGCCGGCAGCGAGTCATAATCGTACTTACTAGGTAGAAAGGTAGGGGGTTCTTATTATTGGCCTCCCCTCCTAATGGGCTGACTCTGAAGTCCTAGCCTGAGTGTCAGCCTTGTTAGCTTTCGTCCACTCCCAAAAATCAGCTACTAGCCAACAGCGGATCTTGCGGGACTGAAATAGGAAACGGCTACTAAAAGTAGGCCTTTCTGATTCTTTTCTGATTTGGCTACTAAAAGTAGGCCTTACAGCCTTATAATATCAGATGTTTCAGCCAATGACCAGTTCGGCCCTCATCCAATCAGGACAATTCAGTCCCATTTGCAAGTCCAGTGCATTTCGGCCTCAGGTGCAGGATGTTTCATGATGGTATGCTATGACACTTGCCGATATAAATAATGACATGTATAGCCTACTATACTTTTTTCTCCCCATGTTGCAGGATCCTGAAACACCATGGCCAATGCAGGAGCAGTAGCTGCCGTGATTATTGCAGTGGTTTCAATGACACTCAACTTTTCTATTCACAAGATAGAGGAAGGTAAGTCCAAAACGTTAGTGTAAGTGTAAGAGTAATGAGGTCCAACTGAATACTGTAGTGAAGTGATATGTAGCTAAAAGGTCAAAATACTATGTGGGACTTCTTCTCCCCAAATTGTATGTACATGATATTATGTTTTGGTATGTTAACATCTACATACAAGGACAGGTAATACTGTTGAATACAGGACCTGTTGGTTGTAATATCAGATTTAGTTTTGTTTAATTAACATGGTTTATGGTCTCAAAATTTTAAAATGTAGGAATCTTGTTTTTTTGGCCATACTTGTTTTTTTTTCCCTATTGCATTAGATTTGGAGTCTGCGAAGGATGTCATCCATAGAATTTACTTGCTGTGGCCTTACTATCCAAACAAATAAAATACTGAGAGCAGGAAATAATGTTATGATAGTAGAAGGAGCTAGGAAGGGGGGCCATTTTTGTTGTTTGTCAACATTGTTGTTTTTGTTGGCGTTTCTGCAGGTCATGTTGGTGTGTACTACAGGGGAGGAGCTCTCCTGTCATCTACTGCAGGTCCTGGTTATCACATCATGCTGCCCTTCATCACTACTGTCAAGTCTGTTCAGGTCAGCTGGGGTCTTACCTAGTACAGTGCTGTGTACTATGCTATACAAAAGAGAAACCTTGTCACATCAATGTGAAATGTAACAGTCCATTATAACATATATACATGTATTCAAGTTAGATTAGTACACTAGTAAAAATAGTTAATACTTATTAAGTGTTATTTGCCATACATTATATCCAATGCAATTGTTGTGCAATAAACTTGACTTTCATGAAGGTCAACAAGATCAACATAATTTTTTATGCATTAAAAAAATATCATCTCCAAGCAAATCTTTTGGTGGGGGTAAGACAGTATCAAATTGGCCAGTCTGTAACCATTTCCCCACCCATACGTTGGACATGTACTTACTACTTCTACTTACTACTTAGATATACTTCCACACCTTGCACATGTACATGATTTTTTTTCTTTGTTTATGTAGACAACTTTACAAACTGATGAGGTGAAGAATGTTCCCTGTGGAACAAGGTTAGTTTTTTTCCTCTATCTATAAATTTCATCCTAGTGCATTGTACCTTGCAATTGGAACAAAACACTGTTTGGCATAGCAATAAAAAAGTGCTATGTCCTAAGTACCGAATGCACATTAAGAGTAACTAGTACTTTTGAAAGTAGTTTGATAAGCGAGGTGCAACTGCTCTAGATTTTTTATGCATTTAGCTGAAATTATTCTCTGGTGTAAATTTTTCTGATCCTGACTTTCATTCGTTTTTTTACCCACAGTGGTGGAGTGATGATCTACTTTGATAGGGTGGAGGTTGTCAATATCCTGAGCCCTGACCATGGTGTGTACCTCAAGGGTCCATCTTAGACCCTCCCACAGTACATGTACATGTTATTGTTAAAGTGCACTTTCAACTAGCCTTAGGAGTGTAGTACCATCCACAAAAATGTTTTTACCATTGTATGAAGCTGTGTATGTAGTTGTCTCAGTATCAATACAAGTTACCTGTGACAATAAGCCTTAAAATTTATACATGCAGATATCATGATTTCATAATTTTTTGCTATGGGTACAGGAATACACTGTTAGTTATAAACCATTTTATCTTAGTGTGCTATAATAATAATACATGTGCCTGATGTGTGTGTGTGTGTGTGATTCCAGTCCATGAGACAGTCAAAAATTACTCTACGGACTATGACAAGACTCTCATTTTCAACAAGGTCCACCATGAGTTAAACCAGTTCTGCAGTAGTCACACCCTACAGGAAGTGTACATTGAGTTCTTTGGTGAGTATGCATGGAGTGTTACACCTGGTTTTCTTGTTTCACCTGCACAGTGCATGCCACCGTAAAGGACTACACTACGGACTACGACAAAATCCTAATCTTCAACAAGGTTCACCATGAGCTGAATCAGTTCTGTAGCAGCCATAGCTTGCAGGAGGTGTATATCGAGCAGTTTGGTATGTTGCATGTCCATTGTTGTATTGATCATTTACTTTTGGTGCATGCAGTGTTGTATCTCTGTTGTTGTGTCAAGCATTTACCTGTAGGTACATGTATAGGGATGTTGTATGTCTGTTGTGTAAAACATATGTACCTGTATGTATGTTGCATGTCTGTTGTTGTGTCAAGCATTTACCTGTCGGTATGAAGTATGTCTGTTGTTGTGTGTCATGCATTTTGATATGTTGCATATCTGTTTTTGTGTGTCAATTTGTTGGTACAGTATGTTGCATATCTATTTTTGTGCATGTGACAAGTAGTTGGTATGTTGCGTATCTGATTTTTTGTGGCAAGTAGTTTGGCTATGTTGCTTGTCTTTTTTGTAGTTTTGTACACAGTTTTTTACGCATATCAGTTTTTCCTTTGGCATGTCTTTGTGGGGAGGGGGGCAGTACACTGTACATAATATTATCTTGATAATGTACCCCTTTTCATGTCTTTAATTAAAAAATCAAAGCTATAATCATCCACATTTGTGTTTATAGATAAGATAGATGAAAACCTGAAGTTGGCTCTCCAGACGGACCTGACTAAGATGGCACCCGGGCTCTTTGTGCAGGTATGGACGCTTAGGGCTGCCTGCACTTCATTTATGAACTGTAAGGAGGAGCAGCTTAGCCATCACAGACACTGCAGTGCATGGAATCATTTTTAGCTGTATGTCAAGATGCATGGATGAAAGAAAAAAACCCTGACACTTAGTATGGACGCCTCAAGGCAATTTATAAGTTTGAAATGGGACCTGATCCGGAAAACTGACCAACCATGCTGTAAATGTACATCAGTGACTGAATTATAATGCGGCTGTATCTAGCTTTGAGTGTTACTGTAATATCCAAGAACATAATTATCTTTTTACCCTGTTCATAGGCAGTACGAGTTACTAAACCTAAAATTCCAGAAGCAATCAGGAGGAATTACGAGGCAATGTAAGTTACTCTTTATTTTATCAGTCATCAAATAATATAAAGGCTATTATATCATATGCTTACTTTTATAGATTGGATCATAGGGTATCCCAATGAGAAAATGTATATCATGTTAAATATAATATATATATATATTGTATGATTTTTTTTATAGACCCCTGCAAAGGACATAAATTTTTAGAGCTGTTCGACCTTTTCTATCTCCATGATCTGACATGTGAGTGATGAAATGTTTTCCAACACTGACATTGAAAATGAAAGTGTCCTCGTGCAAGTTTTAGTTTGTTAAACTGTATTGTTTAAGTTAAATCACTAGAGATTGACAAAGTCTTATAAGAAAACAAATAAAGAAAAAAAATGATTATCCCTACCTACTGACCCCAATTTTTTTCAGGACTGAAACAGGAAACACAGCATCTTTTTCCTAGGCCTAAGGGACCTACATGTACTTTGACCTTAACCTTCAATTTCACTTCTTTCAGGGAGGCAGAGAAGACTAAACTCCTTGTGGCCATCCAGAAACAAAAGGTCATAGAAAAGGAGGCTGAGACTGAGAGGAAGAAGGCCATTATCGGTAAGCTCAGGCAGTAAATTTGACACCGGTTTTTATTCTGTTTACTACATTCATTTTTCTCATCAATACTTCATATGTATGAATGTATTTTATGTTTAATTTAATGGTAAAAGCATTGTGTAGAAAGTCTTGATATAAAATACCGGTACTAGAAATGCAGAGTTGTTCTAAATGACTGACCATACATAAATATTAAGTTACAGTTACAGTAGTAACTTTGCCAAAGAACACAGAATTAAGTAGCACAAAAACACCAGTAATGGCATATCAGTAACCTAAACAGGATTCGTTTCCATATTTGACAGGATTCGTTTCCATATTTGGCAAATGTACCGGTATACAAAACCATCTTTGCATTTATTGATGAAAAAAGAGATATGTTCTTAAAATCATGATTGTATTTAAGAGTATTTGATCATCTATGTTGGTAGTTAACATAACATGTAGCTAAAACATAATATACTGTATTAATAGAATATTTCTTGTTTCTTCAGAGGCGGAGAAACATAAGGAAGTGTCAAAGATTCAGTATGACCAGAAAGTCATGGAAAAAGAAACACAGAAAAGGATGTCTGAGATTGAAGGTAAGGATGGGATGTATAATCTGTTGTTCTTACTGTAGTCCTACTCAGATATCAGTGTACGTTGGAAAATTCATTTATGAATCAGTACAAAAGCGACACCATATTGTAAATAGCTGACATATTCCCTGAATTACAAAATGTAATACAATGTAATACTCTTCCTAAGAAAACACAATAGATTAGCTTTAGTATCATTATGGACTAGCCCGCTAGAATCATATTTTAGTATTAGTTTGTGTATGTACCTTTGTTGTTTCTTTGGCATACATTGTACCAGCTACAATTGTTGAGCAATAAAGTTGATTTGATTTGATTTGATTTGATTTGATTTGTAAAGAGAAAATAAACTAAGGTCATGTTGATTTGATTGAATGAATCTGAATCATGAACATCTTATAACTTGATTCTTTTTTCTTGTATAATTTATTGTGATGTGTGGCTCAACAAATATGTTACTTGTATGATGATTTTCTTACACAAAAATTCACACACAAAAAGAAATTAATCTGCTACTGTTATTTTGTTGTTGTTATTTATAGATCAGACTGAGCTGGCCAAGCAGAGGGCAAGAGCTGATGCCGAGTTTTACACTGCTCAGAAACAAGCTGAGGCCAACCAGGTAAGCACCCCTATAGCACTTCAAACATGGTATAGTCCATCATATGTGCAAAGAAACATACTATAATAAGAAACAATAATACCTAAACAGGGCTTGAAATTAATTTTTGGGAATAGGTGCACTGGTGCATCCAACCTAAAAATTGGGTGCTCTCGAAAATTTCTGGGTTTACCATGTAAGATGAAAGAAGTAGAATGTGTGACTCTAAATATGTTTCCCTGGAAGAAAAGTACTACAACAATGATATATTTTTTCTCGGTTAAGAATACTACCATATACTACTAGACATTTTACATCTTTACATACATAAACCAGAACAAAATTAGGTGCACCACACCAGATTTGGGTGCACTAATAAGGTGCACATGCACCCAGTATTTCGAGCCCTGCTAAACCAAACTATGAAATGTTTGAACCTTGACGTGTTTGTATACTACATATTGATAATTTTGTATTACATTGTGTATAATGTTCCATCTGGATGTCTAACCCTTTATTCAAGTGTTTTATAATCACATCAATTCCCCAATAGCTGAAGCTCACCCCTGAGTACATAGAACTGCAGAAGTACCAGGCCATCGCAGCCAACACCAAGCTCTACTTTGGCACAGATATCCCCTCCATGTTCTTTGAGACCAAGGACGGAGCAACAGGAGACAGTGCCAAGGTTGTCACCGCTTCTAAAACTGCACCGGTATGACCAGTGTTAGAAATGCAGTCTGCTATTTGCAGAGACATTTTCAATACTATAGAAGAAAAATTAAGCAACCTGCAATTTTGCAGACTGAAAAAAAAACAGGCTAGGTGTTCAATGGTGTTTAAGATCTTTTGTGTTTACTACTGACTCTATAATATTCAAGTAATTTGCATGTATTTTTCAAATTAGATGTAAAACATTTGCCAACATGTAATTTTGTATAGTGCCAATTTGGGTTTATATGTAGGTCCAGACTTTTAAGTTTATATTTGCAGAAAGTATTTCCAAATTGCAGAACAAAATTTTGACATTCAAATTAGACAGTGTCCTTCAGTAAAGCCAACTGTTTGTTCAGGGTGAAATGTTTTTCAATCTAAAGGGTAACGAGAATATAAAAACAGTATAACAACAAAAACTGCTTTTATCTTGTTTCAGGAGGACTCTTCAAAGAAAAGTGGTGGTGGTAGATAATGGATGCTGTTTACATGTAGTATACTGTAATACAGATCTTTTACAGTGGAATTCAAGTCCTTTATATAAAATATGATACTGTCAACATGTCAATAGGGGAGGGGGCTGATTCTCAATTTGGTACTGTTAAAATCCTCCATACATTTGAATAAAGATGAGCAATTTTTGTCAGGTCAACGGACTGCAGATATTTTTCTGTAACAGTTTCTTTTCATTATTTTCTGATTATTTTTGGCAACATTTGAGCGAAGGTAATCTTAAATTGTGCCATATTGCCAATTCCAGTCGGCAATAAAAGAGATTCTATATTGTACTTGATATGGCAGCTATGGTGTTGGTATGGTATTTTAAGCTAAGCTAGCTCATTTTCCTTGATTACATGGCCTAAGGGTTTGTGTTAAATGATTATGTATTCAATACTATTATCAATATGCATTTCTCTGCAGATTTCTCGCTATCATTAAAGACCCCGATATTAGTTGGAGTCTTTGAAAATTACATGTAAAGCTAGATGCAGTAGTTTATTAATGTGTCACATTTTAGGGTTAGGGTTTTGAGATGGAAAGATGCCTACTACTAGTTATAGAGTTAATGTGTCAATTTGGGAGCATTTAATTTTGGCCTTTCTGAAAGGTAAATATAGTCAAATAAGACTACTGATAATTGTGATTTTATTTTGATGTGTGATAGGTAATGTTGAATTAAGCAATATAATTTATATATGGATGAGTTGCTTTGCATCATTTTTGCTTATTAATTGTGCATGTGGGTCCTATATAATTATGTCAATCATGCTTCTTATTGCTGTTGATGACTTCTTCATCTGGTTTCTACCAGTAAGACAAATGTTTATTGTTGTAGCTGCATGAGATGTATGATATAATGTACATGTTCATTTTTCTTATTGGCCCTGCATGTGTCTTCTAAGAGCCCTATCTTGCCTATGAGGGCGAATGGTATGGGTTTCTAAAGCTAGAATATAATTTTGTTCTTTATAAAATGAAATATTTGAGGATTGGTTAGTGTATACTCAGACCATGAACAGCAGTACCTCAATGGTAAAAAAGAGAGGATGTTATATGATGTAAGGGTGGAGAGGTGCCAGAAATCTCAAATATCGTCACAATTTTTCACATAATCATCAGATTTGGTCTTGCCATTTAAACTATTTCCCTCGGTGAACATAAACAAACTAAAAACGAGTTAACTTCTATTGCTGCTTCAGCTATGGGGCATGCACAGTGTAATAATGGTGTACTTTTTGATAAGAGAATAAAAGGTTTGGCACGTATCTGATTATTATTTTATGAAACTTGTTGGTATTGTATGCTAACCCATTGCATTGTTTTATCATGATAAGTCTATAGTCTTGTGCTTGTTCTCTGTACAATTGGGCAAGATTTTGTAGTGGAATAAATGGTGGAAAGTTGACTTTTCAACAAGGACGTTACCAGTTGCAATATTTTGTTGTACTGACTGAGTGTTGTGTATTTATTTTAGCAGGAATTATAGGATATGAGAATTAAGGATTTCCCTTGAGATGGATTCAACTAGTGGGGTCATGTGGCGTAGCGGTAGTGTGTTCGGCTCAGGACCAAGAGGTCGCAGGTTTGAATCCTATCATGTCGTAGATCTTGCACCCTTGGGAAAGGCACTTTACACAACTTTCCTCACTTAACTCTTGACACTTAACTCACTTGACCCCGATTACGAGTAATGGATCACGTTTATGATATTGTTTTTGGTGTATATATAATAATTTCCGTGTATGTATGTGTCGTACGCAGGGCCACTCTGTAAAGCAGTGCTATGTCACTGAGTTAGTGCCACCCTGGTAAAAGAATACAGAAATAATAATAATAAAATAACTCAAGTGAAAATGAGGACCTAGCTTTGGTTAGGGACGTCTCTCAGATAGGACACCCCACACATGTAACTTATAGAACCCATCACACTTATCGAAAAGAGCAGGGGACCTTCCCGGTGTAAGTGATTCAAACCTTACAGCCCATGTAAGAGAGAGAGAGAGATCACTTCTTTGTGAAACATATTTAATTACATAACTCCACAGTGAGCACACACTTAACTTCCTGAATATGTTTACATATATATTTTGGTCTCAACCCATGTCGCAGAAAGTTATAATGAATGATAGACAGTATACTCTGTTTAATATCGTTTCTAGTTTTTTGTACAAAATATACAATTTCAATATATCAGGACTAGTACATCCAAGTGACAACGTTGGGTGACATAGAATGTAGTTACACTGCTTGTGATATCAACAGGCCAAGTGCAGAGCATATTTTTCATACAAACAGGTATTCTCGAGCTGTGCTTGTCTTCCCCTATCCCTTTGTCATTTCCATTGACTCTGATCTAAAACAAAATGGTAACATCTCATAAGCAAATGCAGAATGTTTACCTTCACATATTGTCTACTCTGTTAATTCTTAATCAAACGCATCCATGTATATGGTGACAGGAGTCTAAATCCCTCCTGCTATAAAATTGCTACATGATGTAACCCAACACTAGTTACCATGGTGGCAGACATCTGGCTCAGGTCATTGACCCTTATCTGTTTGGAGAAGAAGAGGAAGAAGAAAAAGAGCAAAAATGTTTTCATTCTGCGAGGGTAAACATTACAAAATTATTATACCTCACAATAGTCTCCTTTAAAACAGAGAAGCGTGCCTATTTGAAATGTGTTGTAAGTAAACAAGAACTTTTTTTCAAAAACAATCGTCCAAACCAGACATTGTGTAGTTAAAGTCATTTGGAAACGCATGTGTGTGTTATTCTCAACAGAGTAACATATGTTCAAAGCAACTAAGGTTGGTTGTAGCAAACTACATTGTATCTGACAGCATAACATTTCGTATGAAAAGATAAGGCTATTCTGTCTCATTTTGCCCAGTTGGTGAACAAAATATTTTTAAAGTGAAAATACAAATTATCCTTTCTAAGAAAAATGCCTTCGGCATATTACCTCTCCCATTATCATATTTGGTGGTATAAATCTTAAATTGTTAAAATCATCACATTAAATTCTTTGAAGATAAACCAATGTACAATGCATACGTAACATACGATAATAACATACAAACATAGCAAACATACACTGCACCTTATATATACCTACTCCATACATGGCAAGTCTGAAGTTACATCTGACACACAGTATTTGGCACGTTTCAAATATTCAAGATGTTCAGTGTTCCATCACATACCAAATTTCATGACAGGGCTAAATTCTACACAGAAACGATGAAAATGTTGTATTTTTTTATTTTATCAATCTACACAAAAGGTGTTCTTTTTAATTTGCAGTTGTAGGTGAACTTTTTTTCTTGGACGTTGATTTCATTTCGTAAAACTAGAAGTGCATTCGAGAAATATTCGTAGATAGCACATAATCTTGTACTCATCCTTTGCCACAAACAACGTACATTTACATGGTTAAATCTGGTCTTTTATAAACTTGTGTCAAACAAGTTGTTTCAGAGAAGGCTCATAATCAAGCCTCTTTCAATGAGGCATACGATGCCACGTATATTTCTACGTGGATTAAATTGTATATCAAGAAATCTTCCTGCGTCACAATGACACTCTATGAAATATGCAATTACAATGTTTTTTTTTACATTTCTCTGCCGTTTTACAATATATCAAGTGGTCTTTACTACACGAAGTCTACATACAGTTATGTTCTTTCAAAATAAACCTTCTTCTAAGTTAGTCAAAGATAAATTTGAAAAAGAAAAGAATAATCTTACAAATCGTAATACATAAAATATCTTAAAGCTGGGCGTAATTCAACAGAATAAAAATCCTTTTCCCGGGTTTAACTTTCATATCAATTGACGTATTACAAAATTAATCTGCATTGTACGTGTATGTTCTCCCGAGATATCACTACATCCTCAGTCTTGAAAAAAAATCATGAATTCAGCACGACGTGTTTTGCCACGTCGGTGAAAGATAGACCTAGAAGTCCTTGTCCCATCCCGTGAAATCTTCAGGTGTGTCCTCTTCGTCTATTGGGTAGTCATCAAAGTTGGAGGTGTCTGTAGTATTTTTCACCTGTTACGAAAAACAATCACAAACGTTCAGCATGTGTTGGTTTGAAAATTGAATGTTTGCTAGTAAAAATATATTACGATTTCCTTGGTATGTATAATCACATTTAGCATTGAATTTCATAAACTGAACTGAACAAATGTCCTAATGACTGTGCACTACACTGCAATAGACTTGTTTTGAAACTTTTAGGAAAATATCTCGAACGTATGAAAGTCTACGTTTCTAGAAAAGAAATAGCTTACCGGCTGTACAATCGGTGGACACAGAGTTTTACTTCTCAAACCTTCCCAGTTGAAGCCCTCAAACCACCTGGAATAAATGAGGAAAATCGTTATCAAGCACTTTAAAACTTCATTATTACAATTGCTTCAAGTTATGTATGTAGTAAAATTAACTTCAATGTTTTCCAATTTCATGCAGTGATTAGAAAAAAATCTCACTTGTGTTTCTGGATGTCCTTAATACCGTTCTTCTGGTTACCCAGTCTCTCGCTTGGGTTGTCCCTTAAGGGTGGGGACAAAATGCATGACGTTATGATCTGAAAAACCTCCTAGTAGCGTACCAGGTATGCATGTACATCGTTGTAGAGCATTGTGAGACTGCATTTACGCATACAACATCCACAGTCACAGATTCGATGACCACCATATGGGTACTTGAAAAACCTCAACAAAAGCATGCATTGGGAGACGACATCATTTACCAGATACATTTGACCCAGTGTGAACGTCACACTTCAGAGAAGCCACGTGACAAGTCTCACTGGGTCAGTCTACAGAGGACGACCAAAGCTCTAGGTGAGAACATTTACCTGTTTAGGTGAGAACAGCAGTTTTAACTTGCATTGTGTTAAGCACAGCAGTTTTAACTTGCATGTAACTACCAATACAGACTATATTTCATGATAGTATAATCATTCAGAGTTTTTCTGCATAGTACTGACTTGCATAGTTTCTTGATAAGGTTGTGAGCGTTCCGTGAAATCTTCCTCGGGAACTCCATGATGTCGATGCCCTTCAGGATCAGGTTGTAGGTCTTCATGGGGTCAGATCCCGAGAACGGAGGGCTGCAGCAAGGTCAAAAACATTGTGAGGTCAGGATAAAGAGAACATGGACTAAATATAGCTATACCTATTCCTAATGCAGAACCCAAATATTCACAGTATGGATGAACATTACGTTTTAGTATCTGCATATAATCAAAAATTTCACCTGGCAGTATAAATTAAAGAGACTGTCAATAAGTAGAAAAATGCATTGCATCAATGACTGCAATAATGCACAATTGTAGGTGTGAATGGATTAGGTTACTTCGCTTCGCTCACTCGATGATTTATTCGGTGGTAACAGGTAATGCGTTACGTCACCGTAAACGCTAACGTTTAGGTCGTTAACCATTAATTATGTAGATATCTTAACATGTAACACACTGACATATGACATAGACAGTACCATACGGAGTCACGCAACGTCTCGTGGAATCTCGCGTGAATGCGTTACCTGCCGGTGAGCAGCTCGAACATGAGGATGCCGAGTGACCAGTAGTCGGCGGACAGGTCGTGCCCCTTGTTTAGGATGATCTCAGGCGCTACGTACTCAGGTGTGCCGCAGAACGTCCACGTCTTCCTACCGAACCCGATCTTCTTGGCAAAACCAAAGTCAACCTGAGAAATAAAATACTCATAGTAAGTGGGTGGGATCGTGTGGAGTGCTCGGTTCAGTACCAAGAGGTCCCAGAATTTCTGGCTAGTTCCCAGGCCGGTTTAATCAACAAGGGATCTTCAATGGCTTCTATGTATTTCTTACATCATTTTTACCTATAGTTTACAATATTAGCCCATCTAGATGTAAGGTTGTTGAGATATGGGAATTAAACTGGAAGTCCGGAATTAAACTGGACTGTTAGTCAGATTAAAACAACTCTCACCAGTTTGATGTAACCCTTAGAATCCAGGAGCAGGTTTTCCGGCTTGAGGTCCCTGTAGATGATCCCCCGCTGGTGGAGGTACGTGAAGGCCTCCAGGACACATGCGGTGTAGAATCTGGTGGTACCATCGTCAAAAGAGCCCCTGCAACAAACAATGTTTGAACCTCTCCTCAGTTTAACCATAGAAATACAAAATTTAAAGACATCAGATTTATTTATGCACTTATTGGTTCTGATTTGAAAAGATATATACATCCGACTAGTCAGTGGCTATTACAAAAGCTAGCCTTGCTGACAAATACAATATACAGGACATGAACATTGACGTATTGGATTATAAACCTACATGTGGTACATGTTATTATGACATGGAGTACCTGTCTCTGAGGATGGTCCACAGTTCGCCGCCAAGGCAAACCTCCAGCAACATGTACAGATATTTAGAATCCTTGAATGTCTTGAACAATCTGTAATAAAATGATGAAGAAAATCATTTTCTTATTCTAGCCTATGACTGCACCTGGCGTCGTAATAAAGTCACCTAAGTAAACGCCGAATGGCAGACGCTCCAGACCCTTGCAATTAAGCCCCAATAATTGTAAGCTCCTCACAACTCAGCCTTATATAAGCTTGCAAGGCATGATGAACATTAAATACATTCAGAAGTGATTGCTTTCAACAGACTCTAGGTAATGTAATAATAATAATGCAATAATGGTATAATTTATAACAATATGGTGCCTGAGCTACCTTTTATTACCTTGTGTCCCTGTTTCCATGGTGATGAATGGATTAATTACCTGACGATGAAGTCTGAGCGGGCTTCTCCCATGATTTTCTTCTCAGACATGATATGGTCCTGCTGCCGAGTTTCCACAATGTGCTTCTTCTTCAGCTGCTTCAGTGCGAACGTCCTGTTGTTGAAGCCCTTCACGCGCACCTTTTTTTATTGAAACAAATTGATTATATGATATTGAAAAATGAGTATGTGGTCTGTACATGAATACACGAAGACGTGAAACGTAAGGCCACACTAATTTAAATTGTTGGTTCACGGGTTCTCCCGCTTCCTTTGTTTTTTATTTGCGAAATAAAAACATTACAGGATCTGAATCAGCTCCAAAAGCTTATATTGTGACCCAAACAGTTGAAGGAAGTCCCTTCTCCTCAGAGCCGTTGCAGTTTTTCCATCTATCAATCCAGTGGTTTGATTAAATTTTTGTTTGAATTACAAACCAGCCTGATATGTTGACTTCATGGCTCCTATCATAGCATTTGGGGAGGTCTGTTTTTTTCTTTCCGCCTGTCGCTTTATATTTGTATCTGAAAAAATTCCGACAACCAACAAATGAAAGTGGTGTATACATACATATATGTATGAGCTACACACTCTGGTCAACATTTGACATTTCCTGAAACACTGTATTATTTATTGTCAGGCTTACGACGGCCATAAAGATGATAAATATCTACTACATGTAGAAATCCCCAGTCGTGATTAGGGAATTACTTAGAAGCCCACAAGATCTATGAGGAGACATCAAAGATGGTAGATGGATGTAGGAGTTGCCTTGGAGCGTCATGTCGTCCCACGCAGCGGCTTTCATCCAGAACTAACAGCAATATTGCTTCACACAGGGCTTGGTCAACACCAAAAGACCAGACGTGACGTGATTTAGTTTTTTTTTCAGACTTGGGACTGGCAATGGATTGATGGAATCATCACTCGGCTTACGTACAAGCTTTCAGCTGCTTACGTCTATTCTACTCACGTCAGCACTGATGTTTTATGAGATAACTCAAACATTAATATGCGATGAACTTACAAACATCGACACTGTGCCAAAAAGTCAATGGTCTGTACGTGTACTTATGAGGCGTTGTTTAGGACTCGTGACTGCTCTATAAAGATAGTTACTGTAGTAAATGTTTTGCTAAATGTGGCGTGGCCAAATCCTTCCTATCAACTACAACCGATTCATGCCAAAATCCATGACGAATGACAACTTGAACACCATTTGTAAAGGGTATATTAATAGGTTTATTGACATCCATTTAGTACGTAAATGACGTGATTCATGACACAATATAGACGTACATACCAGTTCAACTCTGCCAAATCCGCCCACTCCTAACGTCGCTACGATTTCCGTGTCTGACAATTTGACATTTGCAAACTCATTGTCAACTCTGTGGGAAGAGAATAGGAAACAGTCACACATAAGGTATACTCATACTTGAAACAAGCATAATGTAGACCATTGAAAATCAGTTTTTAATGTTTTTTGTAAGGAGAAAATACTTAAATATATTGACACAATCATTACTCAACATCATGTGCCCGTAATGCAAAAGAAAATTCATCACAAAAGTCAAAAGTCACTTTTCTTGAGTCAATAAAGAATCTATGTCAAGAATTAATGATTGAAATGAAAACTGGACGAGCAACTCACGCGACATTGTCCTCCTCGTGTTCATACTTCTTGTTAGAGACATGGCCCAGTCCTCCTATCAACTGGCTGAAGGAGCTACATGAAAAAAACATAATAACGTTAAATACTTAATTTATGAAACAAGATTAAAAATAGCATCGACATTGTATACATTGTATGATATCTATCCAAATGATACACCATTCCTTCAGTAAAGATCATTTATGTTAACCTGATTAAAAATAGCATCGACATTGTATACATTGTATGATATCTATCCAAATGATACACCACTCCTTCAGTAAAGATAGGTTAACTTCTGGGTTTTCTTCTCAAATGTAGTAAACATTATCATGCCAGTGATGAATCTCACAAATATTGAGTTTAAAAATTATATGTATACTCACTCTCTGTCGATAACCAGACAGACTACGCTGTCCTTATCCGCTGCAACGATATTGGCTGTCCGGATATCTTCCCTATAGACAAAACACATTTGTATGAAATGACTGGAAATTACATTGAAATTATCATTATTAGCTTGTGAAAAAAAGGAAAGAAAAAAGAAAACGTGGAAATAAAGCAAGCAAAGCCGATGCGTCCAAACACAAAAGCAGACACTGTGTAACCACTAACATCAAAGAAACATTTAGACAAAGGTTTAAAGTATAATGGTGGTTTAATAAATGGAGACATATTTTGCAGAAAATTGCTGTGATAGAGCAACGGCAAACTCACGAAATAGATGGAGAAAATCACGGCAACAAAAAAGTAAGAGTTTTTCACCACATATAAGACACACTCACACTGCTTCCGGGCTGAAAATAAGACACGAGGGAACATAAGAACGATATCAACGTCTTACATTTACTTATACTGTCCCACCTCAATATAGATCGTTAACCATTAGGCATTACTTAAAAGATATTGAGATATTTGTTTTAATATTTAACGTACACATGTTGTATATTCGTAAAAGTGTAAATTGTGATCACAGTAGTGTGTAGTATTTACCCTTGTAGAGCTTTCTCCCCGAAGAAATCGCCTTTCTTTAATGAACGGATAAACTTCGGAGAAGAACTTCCGGGATCCGTCCTTGTAACATCAACCTACAGGAGGTAAACAGAGAGACGTGGTTAGGTAATATTCTTTTTTCTTTATTAGCCTTAATTATCATATAGCCAGGAGACGTCGGCCAATCAGAGGGCTCCATTTCCTATCGGTTATCAGACCGTAACCTCAAAAGTGGTCGTTTATTAGAATAACCGACCATTTTTTGACCGTAGCAAAAACCATCATAAAATTGTAAACCGCCTCGTTCGCTACGTTCACTTGGTGGTTTATTCTGTGGTTATCGCACCTGACCAGGGATTATCTCACCATATACACATCGGGGCAGGGCATTAACTCTTTATTACGCCTCCACACCTTTTCCATGATGTAGAGTATTCTTTTACCACAATAACTCGGTTTCATAATCAACTTTAATCAGCCGAGGAATTACAAACAATAACATGAATACAAACAACAATATCACTTTAAGAAATGGATTAAAAGGATGGTTTACCATTCCCTTCTTGATGATGAAGAAAGTGTCCCCTATTGCTCCTTGCCTAATGATGAATTCTCCCTCGTGATAGATGCACTACGACAAAATACCCAAGGTTAACTTAATGACTGTTTTTGAAACGTAACACTGGAAAATTTGAATAAGCGAAAGAAAATCTACAATTTTATTGAAACATGTCAAGCCTACTATTCTACGTTCCTTTAAAGACGAAAATGTTATTTTTCTAGGATACCAATATATGCATATAGGCATATTAATGCTCAGTATTGAGAACAGTACTATCTTTTTTAGAAAAGAGAGGAGATACACCTACCTCTTCGAGGACATCGGCTATCTTGCTGATCGTCTCTTCTGGAAGGTCTTTGAAGGTGGGAACACTACAGAAATATTGAGGTTATAGATTCAACAACAGATAACTCGCTATAGCCTATAGCTAGTGTTAAAGTTCATTAAAAAGACTGATATCTATCTTTACAGTTATTGGGGACAACAAGGAGCTTCGTTATTGTCTAAACGCTACAATTTTAAAGAGGATTCTAACAGAGGGATTGCAAATGTAGAACGTAGAAGCTATGTCTTATTTTCTCTTGTTTACGTTGTAAATGAAATCTTATATCAAACCTCTTTTCTGCAGCTTAAATCTTATATCAAACATCTTTCCACCGTCATCAAAGTATTTTGCATAGTTTTTGTATAGTTAGTCAAGGCTACCTGGTGAGGAATTCGATGTACTCCTGCTGCTTTTGAAGCGTGGTCTTCATCATGATAGCCTGGAAGCACTGTCGGTCGATGGCCCATAGCTTTGCTTTAGTAAGAGCTGTTTGAAGGAGAACCATCCATGTTAATTGTGGTGTGGTAGGTGGATATTAGGCTACCAGAAGAACAAATAAGCTTCTTCATTTTACAGCGCAAATATTTAACTATTGAAGATTTCAGGTGGTTTAGAACAAAAAGGGGAATGTGACATGATATTTTTCTGTACAATTACTTTTCAGGTTGTTTTATTAACTTGAACTTGGACATTTTTACAAGTCTGGAACTAGTTCCAGCGAACCGGTACACAGCTCTACCTACAGTTGTATCCCATCCGTACGGACACGTATATTCGAAGATCCACCCACCTCTTACTGTAGCAGTTCTTGTGCAGTTGTACAAAATGGCCAACTCGCCAAACACCTTCCCAGGGCCCATCGTGCTGAGCTTGTTTCCCTCCTTGGTCACTTCCACCTTACCCTCTGAACAGGACAAAAAATGAGGCTTTAGGAGTTCCCTTTCAGAATTGTATAGAAAGACAAGACACTTCTTACATCTCCTATTGGATAGGAGAAGACGAACACTATCGCACGACAATTGTGTCTGGTACAATGTATGGAAATGACTATTGAAATTTCATTTCTTTATCATTTGTACTTATGTTTTCTTTAACCAGGATAGCTGATTCGGCAGCTAGGTGCTGCTTTCTAGTGACAGTAACTTCAGTTACTCAGTAGCCCAATTTTGGGCAGTAGTAAGAGCCCGTTACCTTCCATGACATATACGAGAGACCCCACATCGCCTTCCTTGATGATGACCTGGTCCTTGCTGTACTCCACCGGGTACATGCAGTCCACTATCTCCTGGATCTGAGACGTCTCAAGGTTCTTCATGAAGTCATTGTCCAAGATGGCCGCCTTTATCAGGTCCTTGGAACTATAGAAACAAAACGGTTAGCCATGTGAATGCATTTATTACATTTTCTAGTAGATTTTACAGTTAGTAATTAGAGAAATACTATGTTGTCGTTTGATGTTTCTTTTGATAGATATACATTTAGATGTTACGGTTAGTAATTAGCGACATACAACGTTGTTGTTTGATTTTCTTAATAGACATACATGTAGACGTTACGGTTAGTAATTAGAGATATACAATGTTGTCGTTGTTTCTTTCAATGATGTTTACGAATGAGCAGAGGCCATTATTATGTTTACTCTCGGAACATTTCAATGAAGTAGTCTCAATTTGTCTTTGACATTTGTGATTATAACAACCCTTCGAGTTCTACTTGCAAGCATCAGATTCTAGCCAAACTCGCATGGTATACCGATCCAATCATATCGTCAGGCAAGGCTTAAAATATAAGTCTGCTGTATCTGATGCAAAAGGCTTTGAATGTAGGATCAACTTATCAAAAATACATTATCTTACGGTATCATTTTCCATCTATAGCAAACTGACCAAACAAAAACAGTACTTTAAATACCTAGAGTATCTTTGGAGTCTTCCTGTTCTTTTATATTCAGCCTGCGAACCGAAGTAAGATCTAACGTCGTTACCATGTCAGCACGCGAGGACTGATTAATGACAAAATGCTCACAAGTTGAAACGTCTCTACAGGAAGACTATCCTTTACAGGCCATTTGAACTCATGTCTCACTCCATACTCCGTGCGATAAGAAGCGTGCTCCCCGCCCGTAATGTGATCGATATCTACTCCTGAGGTAAACGACACTCTAATCGGGCCATCTTAAAAGACTTTTACGGCATTTTATCTTGACAAACAAGCTCGCAATATATTTCTAACAGCCTTAGTCTAGACAGTTCTCATCAACTGCCTTCCTTTGGTGAATACACGATATTCAGCTTCAATGAGTGAGCGAGCGATCTCCTTCGTCCACGGAAGCCATACGCCCGGCCAAGCCCAAGTCGGCACTCTGGCCCTAATAATCTCCTCGCTGGCGTGAAAGAGTTTGAGTGGATACTCTTGGTAGCGGCATGGAGGTGTTTTCAACTCCATGGTAGTGGACATTAGAGTTTCTCCCAAAAAAATTATCACTTATAAAACGCCAGCGTCTGGCACCCAGGCAAGCGTGCGGCACAAGGAACAAGGTTTTGACCAGGACCATACTTGTTCCACAGGAAGCAAGCCTCATTTAGCTTAAGAAGTCTTCGTTTTAGATTCATCTTTTATTCATACCGACTTCCTTCGCCCACACAAGTTACGCTTCATGTCGGCACCAGGTGTGGTGTGACGGACTTTTGCCACGGACATAGGTGGAAGATTAGAGACGTGAGGGTAATGTGTAATGGCAGGGCTCGAAATACCAACATGCATGTGCAATGTGCAAAATATCATGTTTGCACTGCGAATCTCTGAAGTTTGTACAAAAAAGAAAACTTGATAAGAGAGCCTCAGGGGACTAATTATAACGTTGATACATTGGTTATCAAGACTGCACATCATCACATGCACAGTCAATAGCCATGTCTCTCAGCCAGAGATGTCAGTATTTTATTCGACCTCAATCTGTTAACATGGCCATTCAGCAGAAGTCTCTATCCATGTTGTTGATCAATTAGCAAAAAATACACGTACTTGCATTGTTTAGATAAAATTTATTCTGGCTAAGAAGGTTAACACACAGTAAAACACTTGCAAACCGAATTAATACAATATATAATAATACACGTAAATTATTCAGATTGCACCTTAACTTTTTGTCAACGTGCAATTTTGTGCGTCCATGGAAAAAAAGGATTTCTTGCCCTGTAATGAGACACTGTGTTAAAACCAATTGCCAGTGTAACTGCTGCATCAGGGCAAAGGGAGGCGTAGTCACTGTAATAAAACTGGTGAATTTTCACCTTTGCGATATTGGCTGTCGGTACTTCAGACGCGTGGGTTGGCAGGACGTGATAAGAAATAGTGATGAAAATGTCTACCAAATATCGCCACCTCACATAGGCGTAACGCTGCGAGCCTGGCGTTATTTTATCGCTATTTCCACGGTAAATGCTCCGCGGAACTTCACTTCAAACGTCTCAGCTAGGACACGTTTTGCCACTTCCACTGAAACAAATCACCCTTTCTTCCGCCATACACCGCCTCTTAGGAGGAAGTTACACGCTGAAAGCTTCTTTCCCAGAACAACATCACAAGCTACCACGTAATTGTTTATGCCCAAATGGGTATATAAACTTAAACTTTTCAAGTCAAAGGCCAACCAACATCTGTCCTGACTGACTGTACAGTAACCCAAAACATTTGAGTGGCTCCTCATAAGCCTTGTATAAAAATTCTGTACGATAACTTCTTACTAGTACTGTTAATTATATATTTCTATACTATTTGTTCGACTTGCTCGCCTATATGTGGTTTACTGTGGTTTAATATTAAAATAAGTATTGATAACTGCAAGAGAAACTCAAGACAGCTAAAGGCCTCGCTATGTTAGAATCACTTTTATAAAAACGAACGTCTTGATAATGTTGCTGCTTGTTGAGCTTCAAGTGCCATGATTTTGATGGGCCAAGGTCGATCTTGAATCCCAGAGCATTTGAAGCACCATGAGTAAGTACTACTTGGATGCCTGTCCTACATGTATGTGATTCACAAAAGGTACTTCATGACGTTCATACCGAAAAGCGACGTAATAAAGTGCCTTTTCAAAATGAACTGGAATAACCTTATTGGCGCGTGTGTATAGCTGGATTGTAATACGCGCTTCGGTAAAAAATATAAAAACGAAGTTTTCTGAAGATACTCTATAATCATATCTCCTTGCCAGCTTAGAAAACGTACGATTTGTGGCAACTTAGTTGATAACTCAGTTACCAGAAACTCCTATGTCTTTATTGATGACTCTCATGTCGAAGATCTTCGAAGACATAAGAGCCTGTCTACCGAGGATTACTATCGTTACTTAGTTTGAATCCCCTTCAGACACATAAAAAGATTTTCGACGCGGATGGCATTTTAATGGGGGTATACGTGGGTTGTAAAATATGGCGATTCCAGTGTGTGTGTTGCTATTTCAGTACATTTCTTAGAAATCAAGATGGCCGTAGGGGCAACAATCCATTACCTGTCTCAGGTTTTTACATTGAACAGGAATGATTGAATCGAAGTGTGGGGTCGTGTGGCGTAACTGCAGAGTGCTCGAGTTAGAACCAAAGGCTAAAAACACAATATTTTCAAATTTTGACATCATAAACTTAATCATACAGGAAATGATACATATATTGTGGTAAGTTTACTAACAACTATTACAACATCCATTTGTCACTAAAACAACTTTGAAAAAAGCTTTCAATCAATGTACAAATGGTTTTGATTCAGTGGGAACATCGCACAGCCACCATCACATATAAAAGGAATGAAATACATCACTGCATCAAAGTAAAAGACAAAAGAATAAATCAGAGCCTTCTCTTGTCTTCACATTTATCTGCCATCCACGTTCCGGCATGGCAACAGACATCTTTGCCCATTTTCGGCATTTTGACCACTGTCAGAGGGCAACAAAATTTCTTGTTTGTTTTTCCAAAATCAGGCGAAAATCAATCCACGCACTGATGTCATCCATAGAAAATTCTTGCTGTGACCTGAGGGGAATATATTCATATTTCCTGAAAAATCGCCCACACAAGTATGCGCACACATCAGAACCACGCACGGGGTCTGTAGCCTCCAGGTGAAGCGGTGGTGAGAAATACTAAACTCCTTTTCATAACACCTTGTGTGAATGGCCACAGTGAAGAGCTGGTACTAAAATTGGAGCACTGCAACCAATTAGGAGAAGGCTAGCTAGCAGCAGGTGCAGCCGGCCCTGATTAATTGCCTGGGCGTGAACAGAAGTACTGCGCTTCACAGAGACGAAATCGCGCTTAGAAATCTTCAAAGCAGTTCATCTAGAAACTGCCGTGAGTCATTTTAGGTCTGATCAGAAGCAATGATCGTCTTGCGAACGTAAATATTTTAATTGTGAAATTAAAAGAAATTTTTTATAACGCCAGTATACGCAATAATGTTATTTCAGGTTATGTTAGGTTGTATGAGGATCCCTGTGTTCATATTAGACATTCTATCAATTTTAGCTCCAACATCTTTTGGAAATACATGTTTAGTACATTTGAAATATGTATCAAAAGTGTGGGGGTCTCAGATTCACAACCTGTTTGTTATCCACCTTAAATAAATCCACACAAAGGCTGCTGTGTCAATCCTCCTCACTCAGGTGTAGGGACTGACAACGGTCATCATACTTAGAAAACCTGTATCTGTATCTGTACATAAATCTTTATCTGTACATGAATCTGTATATAATTGCAAATAACTTGAGATCGCAGGTGTTTGACATAGACGTGTGAAATATATATCCTGGAAAAAGGCGTCAGATTGTCTGGGCACGCGTCGACATTGTTAACACATTCGCGCCTCGTGGCTATAGCTTATAATCAAAGACTCACCCTTTGGTCCAATAAGTTCAAGGTAGAACGAAAATCTATTACTCTAATTTAGCACCGTTTTCACGGGTGATGAGCAAATTAGTGCCGTTTATACATTTTTGACAAAGAAAAAAATCAGTATTACTCTATACTTTAATAAACCTTTTAAGATAATAGCGAGCGCTAAGCTAATGAAAGTGAGAATTACGAAGACCACAATTTCCTTTCGCAATGTTTGTAGAATAAGATGTTTTTTATCTGCCTTGCGCAAAAAAAACAACAACAACAGAGGAACCATGCTTTTTTCGGCTCTTTGCAAATAATTCTAAGAAACATCGTTCTTTACTATTAAACACGCTGTTGTGACTACATTCCTGCAAACGCCCACCGTGAAGCTATTTTAAACAGCTTGTTGGTGAAAGTATGAAGGGATACAATCCAGACGGTACATGTTCATGTTCTCCCTTAAGCTTCTTTTTTCTGTAAACAAAAGCAGAGGCTTTACAAAAGACCTCGACCTTTAGTACTCTACCCGACCTACTTACAGTACCAACCTCTCTCTCAGATAGATAGAATTACAACCTGGCTTCACTCGGGAACACTATAGTACGAAATGTCTTCCTTTGAAATAAAATACTGTACTGACTACTCATACCAAGGAGCTTTAACTTCAACCCATACTGTATAAAGCAACAAGAAATCATCTCCGTTGCGAGTTCTTATTCCTTTGTATTCAGCCTGATTCCTTTGATACTCTACCCACAGTTAATGTTCTTAAGCTTATCGCTTATCATCTGACGTTGGTCATCTTGTGACTGTATGATGCCAAAGGGAAGACTATAGAAGGTAAAAGAAAGCCTCTCAACTGACAAAGAGTTAAAAATCCATACCCAGTACCAACGTGATACCAGCTGGAAAAAATACAACGCTAAAAGCGCGTTAACGAATGACGAATAGAAAGATTTATTGATTTTCAGCCCAGCTGTGAATGCTCACTGGCCATTACGGAACACTGCCCTTTGTTGACACTGCAAAGAAATACTGCACGCTTTTCATTCATGATCATTTTTGTATTGCTCGCTACCGCGGCTGAAAAGTGTTTACTTTGAACAACATTTCTGTGTAAACAGTTACGTATTAGATACAACACCTAGTGCTTCTTTCTAGCCTGTATAATGTGTTACTACTTACGTGGACGTTTTGACATAGCACTCTGTTTTTTTGGTGGATATATCTGAGAAGGATGTCGGCTCTGCAGAGATGGCCTGCCGTTTGGCCCTGCCTCCCACTTTCTGAGTAGCCGGTCTGAGGACGCATCTGTACTTGTCGAGCTCGCTCTGTAGACGCTGGATGAGCTGGTCCTTTTCTTCCAGCTCCAGTTCCAGTTCGTCGATGAGCTCGTCTCTCTCGCGAAGCTCCTCTATTTTCTCCTGGAGAGCTCTTTGCAGGTCCCGCAGCGTTCCCATGGCGATACGAGGTCAGCGGTAGGGAACGACAACACCGAGAAACAACCGGGCCTTGGCAGCTCTTACAGGCGTGCTCACGGCTCTACTTATGACCTACTAGTGTCCAAAACCTCCCAGCACCTCAGCTTAGCAAGGCGGTAGAGTAGTATGTCGATCACCGGTTCGGTTCTGCCGGTTTCCGGATCTGAGCTCCTGGTCTCGCTAGCCACTCTCACCCCCACTACACTGACGTCACCATCAATTACCAGGCGATATATTAGAGGCTCTGCATGCCTTTTTTCCGTGAGGCGTAGCGAGATGTTTTAATAATCCATCGTTAATCGCAGCCCGCCCACTTAGTTTTAATGTTAATTGTATAGGTAAACTATTCGTGAAGGGTAATTGGTCGCTATGATTCTACGTAGCACATTGATAGTAATTCCGGGTTTATCATTAAAGGTTTATTTTGATATTGACAAATTCTCGTAGTCTTGCCCAAGTCAAGGTACTAGTTTTGCCAAACACCCCTTGAATACAGTGGAACAATCCGATGAAAGTATCCCCCAAACGACCCAAAACCAGTAACCAGAACAAGTCAATTTGCCATTAAGCCTTTCCAGTCAACCTGAATTCACCCTAAGTATGACCCGTCGGGACCTTTTAAACGTACCGTTAACCAGCTTCCTGTATCCCCTCATGCAGACCCTCATATTATGTCAGTGGCCTGGCTTTCGTACTCACAGCGGCTTGACAGTCGGTGAGGGAAACATATCATGCCTGGCGGGCTGGAATGTGGCTCAAGATTATTTATACGGGGGCTCGATGCAAACGGTGACTACAAAAGCCCCTTTGGCATCTCCAGCTCTCGGCCCGCATACATGTTTTGCTCGGGCGAAGATCTCCATTGTTCAAGCGCACAATGCTCCAGCTACGAACCAGGGCTTTCACAAATGTTAAAGGTTAAAGGCATCCAGTTTTTAGAGCTTGGAAAACCGATTTTACAAAGTCAATATTCTAGTCACTTCTATACATACTTGTTGGAACCACACTTTCCTAATGTATTTTGACCATTATGGAGCAAATATACCCGAAATTCTAACGAAAAATGGTTACTGGAAGGGCCCTGGGATGATTTTTAGGGTACCACTCCTAAAATAAAGGACTCATCCTGGGGCTTGTTTCTGCAGTTTTGAATACCAAAAATATGAAGTGCTTATACCGGCTATACAGATACAGATACAGATGAAGTACTGTTTGAAACGTGCAAATGTGAAGCAGTATGTGGCAATATTACAAAGATTGTCTTGTTCAGAATATTTCCGGTTTTGCTGCTCTGAAAATGCATTGGATGACAATGTTGCCCCTGTGGCACTACTTAGTAAAAAGCGCGAGAGAAGTGTATACCTACTTCTCATAATAACCATTTCGCTTTACAATGTCTGAAATTTTGACTCACTGCTGCCCGTCTTTTCCGTGCTTGTTAGCGGCATTAATAAACAATTTAGGATCTAAGGACCGTGTTCAGCGCAACTCACTGCTTTCAGCACGTAGCTACTAGACTAATTATTAAGTTGTACCCACCCACACACTGCGTTAGTGTTGTTTTGTTGCCAAGGCAAGCGCGCATTGATATGCATAAATAATATTTACTTTATCCATGGAAGCGAAAATACACAACTCATAACGCAGCGTGGCCATAAGATTTAATTAACGTTTGGAAAAGCATTACGTGCAGTGTTTCAGGGATTGGGTTTTTCAAAGTCAATATTCTAGTAACTTATCTGCATACTATATAAGTCGAAACCACACTATCTCAATGTATATCGACATTCATGGAGCAAAAATGCCAAAAATTCTGACGAAAAGCGGTTAGCTTATAACGGAAAACATCATATTTCGTGCATTCTATAACAAAGTGATATAAGTATGGACTATTGCAGAATCTAGTGGTGCAAAAAGAGGGAAATGTCCCGAGAAAGTCCCTATGTCGACTTTCTGAGATGATTCAGTGGGGACAAAATGATTGCATAATTATAATCCATGTTGAATATTAGATTGTTCAGCTCAAATATGATTCATCTTATTTATAGAGTCAAGTTTTGTTTATTGTCATAAATCAATTTAAAAAAATTCTTCTATGAAAATGATTAACGTCAAAAACACGCGCCGTCGTTTGCAATGTGATTACGAATGAACTGAATCATTCTATTATGCAATATAGAAAATATGCTATCTGCTATATAAGCAAGCGATTCACTCACACGTACACACATGGATATAAAATATTCTTTTTCAATGTGTGATATGGAATGGATACATGAACTATTGCCATAGCACGTAAAGGTGCTTTATCCCCCGAAAGAGCCCTTTCTACGCTGTAGAGTTAGGGTACACTTACCACTGTTATTGAGAAATCGTGACCTTTAAAATTCAAGGCCCTTGTATCAAATAATTGTTTTCCTGAGCTTACTCAAGGTTAGTACTAAAGTGCAGAGGTAGATAACACAGTTATTGAATTCTGACTGACTGTTGCCGTTTCACAGTCCGTATATATTTATACATAGATATAAAGCTCTTTTATGTGCATGGAATATACGTGCATGGTTTTAGAACTACGATTCTACAGTGAAGCATTTTGCTATACATCATGATATAAACCATTTATTGTGATATTTGATATGCTCATTTGCCACGTAACGTTAAAGTCATATATATATTTTTACCTCCGGGGAAGGAAATATCCTTCCGCGAGGAGGTTTTACTATTGTTCGAAACATTTCTGTCAGCAGCTGTTTCTCGCGATCGGCTGGACGGATTGGTCTGTTGTTCGGTATACGTATTGCTATTGGGCTGCAGATGATGCAGAACGTTTTTGTTTAATTGCATATGTGTTTATGGGCGTCGAAATAAAAGGTTTTTAAGTGCTCCGGACACCCCCGTTATGCTGAAAATGGAATTTACCATGTTGTTAAGGAATGGGGAGGTTTCAGTTTTGGGTCTTACCATTCAAAAGGGGTCAAACAGAGGGGTGTCTGGTTCCGATAAAAACGTTGGGTGACGGCGCAGCAATGACGGCGCGGGATGACGGCGGGGGTAATGGCGCGGGTGACGCTGAACGCTGGGTGCAAGCCGAGTCAGCGCTAGATCTTCGTGTCGCGGCATTTATTTCCAGAAATACGGCGATACACGTCAATTTATTTCAAGTACCGCGCGTAGCTAGCA